AGTTTTCTTCGTTTTCTAGTATTAAAATGATAAACGTTTTAAAAAAATTATGTAATTTGATTGGTTAATTATCACGGCAATCACGGGTAGATCGACAAAATTAACCAATCATATGAATGTCATCCTATGAGTATTTATATACTTATTAGCTTAATTAGAAAAGAACATACGTACCAGATATCTATACCTATATATCCTATATACCTATATATCGGCATGTAATAAAAAGATCTAATTACGATATAATAGTTACAAGAAGGATTTTAAAGAGATTAAGGATTTTTTGATTAGTGGTAAATAAGTAAGCAAAGGTAAGTGTATATATCACCGATATTATAAATATTATAACAAATCCATTATCCAACCTCCTGGATATTTAGTGTTATGAAATCAGTGATCAGCAGTGTTTATGATCTCACTTAAAGTGTGGCGATCAGAATGGGTCATGAGCAAACGCCCACTCCGAACGGTGATTATCGAAAGTGTTGGTTGGTGAACTGGGGATTCGTGTTACAAATCTGACATATTACAATCGAACCATGCAAATGCCCGCCAATCGCCCGCCTTCGAGATTAGAAAAGTATAAAATGTGGGGTTGGAGTGAGTTGCACAGAGGTCTCTATCGAGTCCCATCAATCTGCTGCGGAGACTTATTAGTCCTATGAGGCTAAAATTTTCCCAGGGTTACCAAACGTCCTTCTTTGGAAATGGTCTTCGGTGTTATTTTTTAAGTCAATCCGTCTTTTCTTCTATTAACATTCATATTATTATTTTTTCTTCTTCTCGCCTCGAGCTTCGTTCGTTGTCGCTTCTTTTCTTGTTTACGATCTTACTTGGTTATTTCTCCTACGTATTATCCACCCCCCTCATTAACCTCACGCCACTCCAGAGCCTTATAAAAATTATCCTTTATCAAATAAACTTCCATATAGACCTTATTAAACTTCGTTTCTCGGTGTCTATATAGTTGATTGTCTCGTAGAACATTCTTTTACCTCCAACACTTTTTTAACCACTCGCAACTTTGTTGCTTTCCTTGATCACTGGTTTTATTACAAACACGCGCATTACCTAAACTTATTGTTAAGCATTGAAAGCATATTGCCGTGGGAATAACTCCTTTGGCAACTTTTATCGAGCTTGTGTTTGTCACATAACCCCCTTTCAGAATTTTTTGGCTTAGTTTTTCATAATGTCACAGCATGCTCCTATATCAGCCTTCACCGAACTCGGTGCTACCTTTCAAGAAACTATTACAAATGAAAAATTATCTATGGTTGTCAGTCAGCGACATAAACCTACCATGACGAAGAAGAGGACTGCCAAACAAGAAGACTCCGACGAAGACGACGGATACTTGAATGAACCGGTGGCTTATCGCCCTTATCCAGTTACCAATACGAAAATTAAAAAGACAAAGTACTCCACTTCTCTAGATCCCAGAGGGTATATTCCCGGTAAGTTACTGCGCGTAACTTGATCCTTTTTAATTTTTATATACAGTTTAATTATTTTTGTTAAATATACAAATCAAACGTGTTAATCATACTTTTATAATCTAAAAAATTAGTATATGAATTCACTATTAATAACCAACCTATTATGTGGGATCGAGAGAACGGATACGTTCACTTCACGGGCATTTGGAAAGCCCTTGGGAATAATAAAGCTGATATTGCTAGGTTAGTGGATACCCACCCTGATTTGGCTTCAACAATCAAGAAGGTTAGAGGTGGATTTCTTAAAATTCAAGGAACCTGGTTTGTAATTCGTAATTAATCAAATGCTATGTTATATAAATTTGAATTTTTTTTCTTATATAAATGAATTATTAAGTATAATTAATATATTTTATAAATTAATTTAATTTTTATATAGGATGCCACACGATAAAGCATATGAACTATGTCGCCGAACATGTTACGAAGTTCGTGATGAACTCGTTTCTTTATTTGGACCTGATTTCCCTTCTCAAGTTTTAGATCCGACGCAACCAGGATATGGTCGCCTCACACTCTCTGATTCTGTACCAACTAAAAAACGCCAAAGGCGCAAACCGAAGGATGTGTGTATTGATACCACTCCATCTACAAATAAAGGCAAGACTAAGACTATCATCAAAATGATGGCTTCTCCAATCGATGATAATACTAGTGAACTTGCTCACGATATGATGCATGATACCCGTGTTATTAATGACCGAGTTGCTGATCAGCATCTTCATAATACGGGTTGTCAAGTTCAAGAGAATCATCATCGTCACTTAGTCATTCTTCGTAAACAAAAACGTCCGGGTGATGACATACATCTTGTTGATTCGGAAAATCAATCCATCTCTAAACGAAGAAGGCATCATTCTCCTGAAAATGGTAGTCTTGGTGATGATGAAGATTCTTCCTCTGATGATGGTCTCGCTCCTTTGGTAATTAATCGTCGTGGCTCGGACTCCGCTTATTCTAGTGCTTCTCAACATCATGATCAGCATCAATTTTCTCCTGTTGATTCATCTTTGCAAAAGACTCACCGTGAAATTATTCATTCACCTCGTTCTTGCTCTATTTCTCCTACCTTTACACCTTCTGTTATTGAACCTGCCCCAATGACTAACTTCTATAACCCTTACCCTCCTCCAACTGTACATCCCACATACACTAATCAGCCTCCATCACCTTTGACAGAAAATGATCTTTATGAAGCAATTAATGCTACCGTCGCTTTACAACAATTATCCCAAGACGATGGTGCCCGTCCACTGCGGAAAGATTCAACTTGTAACGCTTGGCCTCGAAGTTTTATTATGGGTAATCGTGAATTTCAATTTATTGGCTGTCGATATCGTGTTGTTCGTTATTGGTAATGATATAATAGGTTTATTTTCTGCTTGGAATTTGAGTAGAACAACTGTTGATATCGAGGGATTTCTAAAAAAAAAAACAAAAAAAAAACAAAAAAAAAGAAAGGAAAAAGAAAGAATAGATAGGATAAAGCAATTATAAGTTGAACTTTATTTGTAAATAGCTTATTTGCTTAAGGAGGGTTAGAAAAAATTCACGTGAATTTGGTCACGACACGTGCTTTCAAAAGCACTTGATTATATACAAACATCTCTTTTTTCTCTTTTCTTTATTTAGCTTAGTTTGGACAATTGTATTGCTTTTCTTGTCTGTACCAAATCTTTTTTATCTTTGTATATTTCTCTTGTTTCATATCACAATTTTAATTGTATATATATTTTTTTGTAAAACTTGTAGATATACTAGTTGTTCTATTCCTTCTTTCATTTTATCTTTATTTTTTTTATTTTTATTTTTTTTTTCCTTTATATATGCATTATTGAAATATATCATTCTTTTTTTTTTTTCTTTTTAAGTATAGCGGAGAACAATTGCTATTGTCAACTATATCATTAAGTAGTTTGTATATACATATCTAACGGACTTTTAAATCAATCTTTATATAACATTAAAAAAAAATTTTTTTCTTTAAATTTGTAACTTTATTTAGTGCGAAGAGGTTAATGTGTGTAAAATACCAGAATTTATCTGGTAAATATTTTAAAGAGTAATTTGCCCATAAACACAATATCCAAAACAGATATATACGTTTATTACATGTAATTTCAATGTATTACATCTAACAAATTTAATAAAAATAAAAAAATAAAGATAAAAAACAAACTATTCCCAAATACTCTCAGACTTTGTATATTGATTTGTAATATCCACTTTAATCATTCTCTTTGTAGCTTCCAGTTCTCTGGATAAATCAATGCTTTGTTCTTCTAATCCTGCCATTATCAATTTCTTCAACGATCTTTTACTAGTTGCATACTTTCTGACTATTACCAAAATTTCATCATTAATATTTGTTTTTACACCGTCAGTACCCAACACCAAGTATTGAAGGTTTGCTCTACATTTTTCAAGGAAGGTATCTAATTCTTGAGGTGAACATTTACAATTAATACAAAATTTAAGTAATGCTGGTGGAACTGCATCTCCTAATTCATCCATAATTTCACTTGAAGTACCAAATGAAAACAACGATGGATGAAACTCTAGATGTTCAAGCTTCGAACAATTAGTAAACATTGATATCAATCGTACTCTTTTATTATCATCTGGTAACTTATCACTTATGGTTCCACGCATTTGCATTTCCCGCAAAGTTTCTTCACAACCCACAATAAGAACATTCATAGCATCCAAAGAGAATTTGAATCTATAAAATGCTATCTTATTAAGTCGGTGGAATTTTGCCCGATGTAGTCTTCTATCAGTTAACGTGAGAGTGCAACCTTCAAAAAGAAGTGTTTGTACATTTGATAAAGCTTCTACAATTTCATCAGCAGTAACAGTTTTAAAAGTAATGGCACTAAATTTGATCCAATTTAAAGAGTCCATTTGTCCAATTGATGGAATTATTTGTGATATTTTACTAGAAGAATTTCGAAATTCAACAGAAAGTGATAACCGTTTAACTTTTCGTTGTGAAGAAAGAAACCTACATAAAGATTCCATTCTTGAATCAACATCTTCTTCCATTAAAGTATCAGTTGAAAAAGGAATTGAATACATATTTAAGGATCGTATACTATTACAGCATTTTAAAATATCTGGAAGAATATCTCTATCCAGGTTGCGAGCAATGAACTTAAATTCATCTAACTGTGAAAGTGCTTCTTCGGCGAATGGTAATTTGATTATCGAAAGATATTCATTTGGAATCGTCGGTTTAATTGTTCTTGATAAATCTAATTTTTTTAATTTTCCACAACGCGAAAGAAATGCTTTACAAAGTCCTTTTGCAAGTTCAAAAGTTTGCCGTTCCACTTTATCACTATTGTTAAATCTCATATTATCATTTTCATCTTCATTGGTATTTAATTCCACCCAACTTTGTGAGGAAATATAAATTAATTCAAAATTCAAATCTTTAAGGAAGCTCAAATAATCGAATAGCATTGCCGAAGGAGTATCAGATATATTGATTCCGACAGCAATAAGATCTAAGCGTTCCTCTTTAGACAAATTATCAAGGTATACTTGAATAAGTTTACTGGAATTTTTTTTCAGAAAGTTAAAAGGTTTACTCCAAAGAACTTTTATCATCTCACGGCACCAAGAGCGGCTGACCAAAAGACAAGAGTATAAATAATTTGAGAGATATTCATTGTCATGATTATTTTGAATAAGGTGTTCAAAAATTTCGTGAACCGTTTCGAATGGAAGTCTTTCAACCATATTATATCTTTATAAATCTAAGTTATAACAATCGACATTTAAATCAGTATTCCAACCGTTACACGAAATTTTCATGAATAAAAATTCTCCGTGCATTACAGCATTAGGCCATACAAACTTAATAAATCGGGTAAAAGTTTACAAACCTTTAAAAAAAATTTTTAAGTATATTTTACTATCTGAAAGTTTTTTAAAAAAATCTAAAAAATTTTTTTTATATATATGTAAAATTTTCTGAAAAGCCGGGTTGCCGGGCCACTTTACGTATGAAAACCGAGATTTATTTATTAAGTTTGTATGGCCTTAGTTACACTATTTATTAAAAATTTTTTTTATACGTATACCTTTACAGTAACTTTTCGAAGGCTTGCATAATAGGAATTTTGTTTTTCAATTCCGATTCACTTTTTTATATTCTGTGCCAACAAAATTTTTACGCCTAAGTACGTGCGTACGTGATTGCCCAATAATCTATATTCAGTTAGATATTAGGGTCAGTGTTTAAGTTAAGGTTAGACGTCAACATTACACCAAACGAAAATTATTTTCGAGCCCCAAATCTCCGTGCCTGCCCTGTCGCGTGACCCACGTCCAATTAAATTCTCCCGCTTTTTTCAAAAGTTTGATCGAAGATAATTCAACAACCACACAATGAAATTCGATGAATTCAAATAAAAAAAAGTTCATCGAATTTCATTGGGTAGTTGTCGAGATACCTTTGATCAAAGTTAGGTAAATTTCGACACAATTTATTATTTGAATTCTATGAAATCATAGAATTCAAATAAAAAAAAAAACTCATCGAATTTCATTGGGTAGTTGTTTAGATATCTTAGATCAAAATCAGGCAAATTTTTATCGTGGCTTACATTTTGACAAACATTTGAATTTTAATCGAAGATACCTCGACAACCACCTTATAAAATTCAATGAGCTTTTTTATTTAATTCTACGAAATCGTAGAATTCAAATAAAAAAACTTCATCGAATTTAATTAAAAAGTTGCTGAGATATCTTCGATTAAAGTTTCAGAAAAAATTTAAACGTCTATCAAAATATAAGCCGCGATAAAAACTTGCCTGATTTTTATCAAAGATATCTCGACAACTACCAATGAAATTCGATAGGCTATTTTTTATTCGAATTCTACAAAAACATAGAATTTCAATAAAGAAAAGTTCATCGAATTTCATTGGGTATTTGTCGAGATATCTCAATTAAAGTTTTAGAAAAAAATTTAAACGTCTATCAAAAAATGTAAAAATTTGCTTGATTTTGATCGACAACTACCCAATGAAATTCGATGAGCTTTTTTTTTTTATTCGAATCCTATTAAACTATAGAATTCAAATAAAAAAAGTTCATCGAATTTCATTAGGTAGTTGTCGAGATATCTCGATTAAAGTTTCAGAAAAAATTTGAACGTGTCAAAATCTAAGCGCGATAAAAATTTGCCTGGTTTTGATCAAAGATATTTCGACAACTACCCAATGAAATTCGATGAACTTTTTTTTATATGAATTCTATTAAACCATAGAATTCAAATAAGTTCATCGTTTTCATTGAGTGGTTATTGAGATAATTTCGATCAAATTCTTGAAAAAAAGTGATTCACAGGGGTGAGTTACTTTCTTAACGATTATATTATTATCATGTGATCGACGTATTATTATCTGATTGGCTCATGAGGCACGAAAATAATTTTCGTTACACCAAAACGTCATAATTACGTGAGCGTAAATTTTGTTATTTTAAATCCTTAATACTGTAATAATTTAATAAATTTATTTTTTCCCGAAGTATCACGGGGTTAAAGAGCTAGTATAATAAGTATATAATTACTATTTTCTTGTTTCGCGCATATTAACAGTATATTAACCCTTCCTTTTGCTTGTGTGTCGTTGCTCAATTCTAACTCAAACAATGTCTTAATGGCATACCACGTGTCATACAATAGTATGTAAGGTTTGTAACAAAATTTTATACAATGAATCATGGTAGAAGACACGACTGTTAATTCCATTATAAACTAACACAACCTTAGCTTCGTAACAGATGTGGGTTACAAGAAATATATTGCGAACTAAAAAATTGAACATGAAAAATATGAAGAATACCTTGAGTATATTGCAAAAAGTGATACTATAGAAAAAAAGCAAGTCTTGGAGAATATTTTTTTTAGTAAATCATGATAGAATTCACGATTGTAATTCAACACAATTGACTCAACCTTAACCACGTACTATGTGTCACGACAGTAAGTTTTGTAACAAAATTTTTGCTGTAATCAGATAGAATTCACAACTGTTTAATTCCAATAGTAAAATTCAAAAACAGAACTCTTTCCGCTGATCACTGCGACCAAAATTGGGGCAAAAGAAAAATATGAACTAACTCAACCTTAACCACATATTGTCACGAAGGCAAATCATGACAGAAATCACGGCTGTAATTCCATACAAACTCAACATATACGACGTGTCACTATAATTGGTATAAGTCTGTAGCAAATTTTATTATAGAATTCACGACTGTAATTCCAACACAAACTGACTAAAACTTAACTGCATACTGTGTAGAACGACAGCAAGTTTTGTAACAAAATTTTTATAGTAACAGGTAAATCTTGATAGAATTCACGATTATTAATTCCAATACAAACTAATTCAACCTTAATTATATACTGTCACGACAGCAAGTTTCATAACGACAGAAATCACTTCTGTGATTCCGATACAATTAATTCCAACACATACGATGTATTACTGCATTGTGATGTTTTATAGAAATCACGATAGAATTCACATACTATGTAGCATGACAGCAAGTAAGTTTCGTAACAAAATTTTTACTGTAACAGGTAAATAATGATAGAATTCACGACTGTAATTTCAATCAAATTAACTCAACCTTTACTACTTTCTGTTTGTCACTGAAATAGTCGACAAAATTCACGATTTTAATTCCAATACAAACCGGCTCAACTCTAAACACATATTGTGTGTACAACAGCAAGTTTCGTAACAGTAAATCACAATAGAACTCACGCCCAATTCCAACTCAAACCAGCTCAACCATACACTGTGTCACACGATAATTTGTAGGCTTTGTAACAAAAAGAACGTATGAAAGATCACAAATAAAGAACGTTTATTAATCAATGGAATTAAAAACAGCAAAACAAGTTCACAAATCAAGAACAAAGAAATAGGTATAAGAAATTTAGTTATTTTCAAAAAGTTGTTAATATGGGTAATGCTTTTGAAATACTTAAGTAAGTGAATTATTGTCGTCAAAATAGGTCGAATTATGAATTATAACTTGCCCGGTTTAATCAATTCAATGACATTTAATCGAAATTATAAGAACATATGAAAGATTATAAATAAAGAACATTTATTAATCAATGTAATTAAAACCAGCAAAACAAGCTCACAAATCAAGAACAAAGAAATAGGTATAAGAAATTTGGTTATTTTCAAAAAGTTGTTAATATGGGTAATGCTTTTGAAATACTCAAGTGAATTATCGTCGTCAAAATAGGTCGAATTATGAATTATAACTTACCCGGTGTAATCAATTCAATGACATTTAATCGAAATTATAAGAACGTATAAAAGATCATAAATAAAGTACATTTATTAATCAATGGAATTAAATACAGCAAAACAAGTTCACAAATCAAGAACGAAGAAATAGGTATAAGAAATTTAGTTATTTCAAAAAGTTGTTCTGTTAATATGGGTAATGCTTTTGAAATATTAAGTGAATTATCGTCGTCATTATCGTCATCAAAATAGGTCGAATTATGAAAGACAGTTCTAATACAAACCAACTCAACCTTAACAACATACTATTGTACTGTGTTATTGATAAGTTTTATAACAAAATTGCTAGTTCTAATGCAAATTAATTTAGCCTTAACTATGTATTGTGTCATCGTAATAGTTCTTAAGTTTTGTATTGCTAGTTCTAATGCAAGCTAATTTAGCTTTAACCATAAATTGTGTCATCGTGATAGTTCTTAAGTTTTGTACAAAATTTTTAATATATCACTATATAAATTATGATAATTCCAACAAAAATACTATGTTACTATAATAGCTTGCAAACTAAAAACTACAATTTAATACAAACTATTTATTATACTGTATATTAAAATACAAACATGTGTAACAGTTGCTTTTTTCCGGATCAGTCCGAATAACGAAAATTTATAAAACACGTAATGAAATTAATTTATATAATAAAATTAGGATAATTAGGATCGGGTTTATATGTACTCTTAAATTAAACTTCTAATAATAAAGTTTCTAGACCAGAAAAATTATTTTAATGCTAATATATATTTAATGTCAGCCTCGATATCATGCATAATCACGGGGCAATCATTTATCATGCATCAGTGCGGCGTAGCCGCGCTGATGCATGATAAATGATTGTTCCCTGTGATGATGCATAATATCGAGGCTGACATTAAATATCTGTTTTATCTCCTGGATCCTAACGTCCGTGATTTTCCCACTGATATTTTCTCTTTTCAATTTTTTTTCTTTAAAATGCCAAACCAATGGCAAAAAAAGAAAAACTTTCATAATATACCAGTTCCTATTTTTACTAGTGCACATAATTACTGTATATCCCTGAAAGTATCTCTGAAGAAAGTACAACTTCAAATATAAATATGCCAAAGTCTGATCTTTAACAAAAACTGGATTTTTACAGAAAAAAAGCTGCAGTTTACAACACAGAAAAGTCTACACAAAATTGGATAAAGAAGTTTGAAGAATTTTGTTGCCAGTATAATTATATTACACCACTTGAATCAATTGAAGATCCTCATCTTATTGAGCAACAATTATGTGAATACATTATACAAATAACAAAAAAAGATGGTAACAAATATAAGGCTATAACTATTAAACAAGCTGTTGACAGAATTAATAGATACATTAGTAAAAATAGTGCAATTTGTGGGTTTAACTTACATAACAAATATC